TCTCTTCTTCCGCTTCAGCTTTCAATAATGCCACAAAAAACCCTCGCAAACTCCACCTCACATCGTCAATAGATTTCAATTAATCTCAGAGATATTTCTCTTCCACCGTCGTCTCCTCCTCCGGGAATTTCCATCGTCTTCCTGCCTCTTTCCTTTTTGGTGTACATATGATTTAGACCTCCCGCATCCGTCTTTCAGAACCTCAGTGCGGAAACTGCAAGCATTTTGGTGTCGATTCGGAAGTCACTTTCTAAATTCGGAAGCAATTCGTCGCAAGAAAAGTAATTAGACTTCTCTCTTCGGCGTCTTCGAAGATAAATCTGCTTTGAGTAAGTTTTGCTTAGCTAGATCTTATGTTTCCATTTCTTCTTGTTCTGTTTACTTTCAGCTTTGGTTTGCCTTCTAAAGAGATATACAGATCTGAATGTTGTAATATTCATTTTTAATTATTATTACTTTTTCTGTTCTGAACTCATGGATATATTCGCATTTTTTTACTTTGTTTTTGCTTAATTTTTTATTGAACTAGTACAATTTCAGAAATGGAGAATGAAATTATTAAGGCTTAAATCTTAAATTTTAAAATATTATCATATGTTTGAAAGGAGTTATAATTACTGTAACACAATGGCGGTAGGCTGTTTTTGCTTAATTATGGTATAAGATTGTGTAAGAAGTTCTTCAATAATAATATAATAGAACGTTGATTAAAATAATAATAATACTATACTATAACGCGAATATTTTCAGATTAATTTAAGAAATTCAGTTTGCTTTTAACATCATTTCGAGAAATATATTAAATATAACGAATCAGATTAACTTTTTTTTTTTTTTTTGATATTTTATTTCTGATGCCACCGCCTGCATTTGGAGATGGTCATTCCTGGGGTATGAATTCATGCATGTACTTAATGAAGTCAAACAATCATATTAGGAAAAATAGAAAATGTAAAATTTGTTAAGTTTTCAGTGGCCAAGCTTTTTGCATTATGGAAAATATGTAACTCAAGGGAAATCTTAAGAATGTCTTGTTTTGAAGAAAACTATAGAGGAACTAGTCAAATTATAAAAAAAAAAAAAAAGAAGCCCTTTTTCACGCATATAGTTAGGGTTCAAACCTTCATTTCCCTCACACTTCACATATATGAGGATTTCAATCAATTGGTCCGTGTATAAAAAAAAAAATGTCTTGTTTGATTCTGAGCTTAGGTTTTACTTTTGCTTCCCAAAACTTCATAATGGATATATTTTATAAGGTGTGGTTATGGCCACCACTCATAATGTTAAGGTCACCAAAAATTGTAAAATACTGTCTTTAAAAATATTGATTCTATATTTAATTTGATTGATAAAGGTGATTAATAATTGAATTATGAACTAATAATTGATAGAATAGTTGATATTTATTAGTTAACAAATTAAAATCAGTCAATAAATTAATATTTTCAAACACTATTTAAGAAAAAAAAACTTGAAATATTGATGGTCTTAACATTTTTTATGGTGGCCATAACCCTACCATCAAGTAAGAGTTTTCTTAACCAAGGTTTTAAATTTTAATGCCTTTGAAATTGTACATTTTTTTTCTGGGAGTGCTGCACTCATTTAATGGGTGTAAGAAATTTAGGTGCCAGCATTTTGAGCTTGGTAAATTATGCAACTTTGGCTGATTCCAATGAGCATTTGAACTGAGCAAGAGATGCAGGCAGCTAGCTTTTAGTTGGAATGAGGAAAATACTGGTTTTTATTTTTATTTCCTCATTGTCATTCAAATAATTGCTTTTATCATCGAGTCTCAGACTCTCAGACACCACCACTTCGCTACTGTAAGGACAAAAGTGAATCGTGCATTGTTTGCTAAAATCTCAGCTTGTTTCCTTTCCCCCATTTTCATTTTAAGGTTCTATTTTTCTGTTCTTTGCCACAGGATGAATTGCTTTTTTGGCAATTCTTTTAAAATTTTATTTACTAAATCACTTTGTATGAGTACATATTAGGGTACTTAACAGTACAGATAGCATAACTAGTGGTCTAACTTCCAAAAATTAAATATCAAAGGACTACTAATTACTCGTTTGCATGGCAAATATTTGTGCTCATCACTTAAAATGATGAGAAAGTCTGTTGAATTACAGAGCATGCAAGAAGTAAAATCCTCTCCAGTTTCGCATGAATCACAAAGTGACCAGCAGAATAATCAAACAGCAGAGCCTCCCTTAGCTGACTCTGGTTCAGTATCTGCTTCAAGCAATGATAGCAGAAAAGTTTCACGCCAAGATATTGAACTTGTAAGGAATAAGAATTGTCTTGTGGTTCATTTATTTGCTGATTTTATTTTGTTTTCTTAATTTGATAGTGTTTTGATTCTCAAAATAGTTCATTTATTTGCTGATTTTATTTTTTTTTTCTTAATGGGATAGTGTGCTTTGATTCTCAAAGTAGCTTTACTTGTCTGTTTGTTGACAGTCATGAGGATTTTTATAATGGGTGCTGCAGGTCCAGAATTTAATAGAACGGTGTTTGCAATTGTATATGAACAGAGATGAGGTGGTCAAAACTCTCTTGACTCGGGCAAGAATCGACCCTGGATTTACAACATTGGGTAGGCTCTACCAATAATTCTCTGATTCCTTGGTCTCTTTTCTAGTCTATAATTCACAGTAAAATAGCTACAGTTATTGAAGTAGAATAGAACATGTTGTTATAAAAAATCAAAAACCTTTCAACTGTCACATGACATGGATTACATTTGCATGAGCCAATGCCTGGATTTTCTAATGTTAACCAATGCTTATCCAAAATGTTCTCTGTTCAACAGCACACACTAACACTTGTCTGATGTTTTTCTTAATGGCTTTTCTTTGTTCAGTGTGGCAGAAGTTGGAAGAAGAAAATGCTGATTTTTTCAGGGCCTATTACATAAGGCTGAAATTGAAAAAGCAAATCCTTTTGTTCAACCATTTTCTTGGGCGTCAATACCATCTCATGAACCCTGTACCTCCTAAGGTTCCTTTGGCCCCCATACAGAATGGGATTCATCCCATGTCTGGTAAGTTCTGGCTTTACATTAGATAATGGAAAATATACTGATTAAATTGTATTAGCAAAATAATCAATGTGGTTTCTCAAGCATGTTTTTGGTAGAATGCTCAAATGGCTTCTATCAAGCATGTAAAAGTAAGGTATTCAACCAAAAGCTGCTGATAATAAAGTGTCAACAAATTTTTATGTGAAGATGCATATTTTTAAAACTCCAAGTATCATACAGTGGCCATGATATTATTCAATATGGCTGGTTAAGGTTTGGTTTTGGGGTAAGACTTGACACTGAGCTCTTTTGATTTGTTACTGAAAAACCCTGATCAAAATCAGAACATGAATTTTAAGTGCAAGTGTTGTTGGTCTTATGGTTGTTTATTTCTTCTATTATCATTGTCATTATTATTCAGTGCTGGTTATTCAGTGCAGTTAACAACTTGCCAATGGGATACCCTGTGCTGCAACAGCCTCCAGTTCCTGCTGCTGGTCAACCACATCTTGACCCTATGGGCTGTGGAGTATCTAGCTGTCATGTTGTCAATGGAGTCCCTGCACCAGGCAATTTCCAACATATGCAAATGAATTCTGGAAATGAGTGAGGGCTTGATCATTTTTTCATTCTTCTAATTGATTTAACTTTGAATTTTCTCCCTTCAGTTAGACAATTGTGAAGGCCCCCATCAAACCATCTATTTATTTCAATTTGATCATGAGCAGTTGCTTAATGAAAATTTGATGGCCACAAGCCTTTTCCCTCTAATTTTATGGTGTAAATTCCTATGGTGCTGGACTATACTTTTATAACATATATGGCTATGTTGAGTTTGTGGCACCGAACAATAGAACTCATGTCAATCTCAGTTAAAGTTAGTTGGGAAATTACGTTTAGCTTTAGAAATCATTTTCCTCCTTCCGTGTTGTTCAGGGCCATGTTCCTTAGTTATCTAGTATTCACCTTATTATTCAACTTCATTGTGTTTGGTCTTTGCATATATCTCGTTTCAGCTTTCTTATCTCCCCTCTTTATTCCATTTTTCTTTTTGCATTAGTTAAGCTAATAACAAACTTTTCTTCTTCTTGTAGCATGGTTATGGACAACAGTGCAAGTGATGTAGCCCATTCTATTCCCCCTAGCACTGCCATGTCTATGTCAGATATGCCTGTCAGTCCCACCTCAGCAGCATCAGGCGGCCATTTTCCATTCACTGCATCAGACATATCAGGGATGGGAGTGGACACATCTGCACTTGATACAGCCTTTACAACTGATGTGACAAATTCAGTAGGATCACAGCTTGAACCTGATGGTGGGGCTGGAAATTCTAGAGATTCCCTAAGATCGCTAGATCAGATTCAGTGGAATTTTAGCCTCACAGATCTAACAGCTGATCTGTCAAACTTGGGAGGTAAGAAATCTGTTGTTATTACAAGGAGTCTTTTAGGTCAGTTTTTGCTGCTTTCAAGCATTCAAGCTGTGCAATATTCTAGTTCATGGATAGATGTGTATTAAATTTGGGTAAGGTTAGCATTATAATGCTTTATGGTCCCTTTTGTCGTCGTTCTCTCTCAAGTAGAACTTTTTGATAATGTGTTTCCCTGGGGATTTCTTGCATCTTGCAGATTTAGGAGCTCTAGGGAACTATCCTGGTTCTCCCTTTCTTCCCTCTGATTCAGAAATTTTGCTTGATTCTCCAGAACCAGAGGATATAGGTAATGGTCATTCCATCAAATCTTTTCTAATCTTTGTATAGTGCACACGACAACCTTCCTTCTTCTTCTTTCTTTTTTTTTTTTTTTTTTTTTTTACATTTGATAATAGATTATATAAAAGGAAATAGACTCTTATTAGTAATTTACCCATTACCACGCTATGATAGTTTAGATAAAAACAAAAATGCTGAGAAGTAGCGAGTTGGGTGAGAAGTGATGGGAAGTGGTCCAGTCGCTCAATAATTCCTATAATAAGTTTAAACGATGTATTGACCCCTCCAATGGCCAGTGGGTACATATTACTGACCATCCATAAATAAGACCATAACCCCTTTGATTTAATCTTTTGAAGACAGACAAATATATAGTCCAGATAGCTCCATATAACTATAGATGTCACGCCTGGTCCCCCTTCAACAAAACCTTTGTTAATTTGTTACTGAAACATGTTTCTTTCATGTCTTCTTCTTCTTCTTCTTTTCCATGGAGACATGTTTAATTTCAGCCAGTTAATTTTTTTCCTAGTTCTTCATCTTTTTTACAAACTTCAAATAAATTAGAAGCTTTAGAAACTTATTATAAACTAATATGTATGACTTAATTAAGCGTGATATAATGCATGCATCGATCCTTTTAAAATTTTATAATTATGCTTTAATTGGTGATTTAATTTATAATCGTTATTGCAATATGAGGGATTGAAGACATGCTTTGATATATATTTGGAGTTGGAGGTTAAGAAAGATATTTGTTATGTGAAATAGACATTTTAATTTGTTTGCTTGTAATGCTTATGCTCGACACACCAACATCAAATACTTGCCCTAAAATTGATTTTTCTTTGTTTTTTTTTTT